TAGTGCACAATACAATTTGCAAGAGGCGTGAGGAAAAGCACTGAAGGGCATTGATTAATATTGCCACTTAGTTTATCAGAAAGACAAGCTACCATGTACCAAGGCCTAAATTACTTGGGGTGGGAATTGTGGGCTATATTGAGAATAAAGTGGGTTTAAAATTTTTTAAAAAATCGCTATTCCTATTGATCTGACAGTGTTCAAAATGTGTCCCCCAAAACATTCTACTAAAAGATTTAGCCTGTTGACCAAAAAGATGCACTGCAGCTTTATTAAACAAGTAAAGACCTCTAACCTTAATGTCCTTGAGCAGAGTGCTTCCAATTCTGAGCAAAGGAGGCTGCCATCATCTTCTTTCTTACACAGCCAGTAGGTAAAAAAAAAAACCCACCCAGATCCTCTGTGTTTCATCTAACATTGTCTGGAATGCCACTTACAGGCTTGCTGTGGTGCTGCTCAGTCTCACCTATGTGTTTGAGGGAATTGAATCTGTATGAAAAGGTGTGTTGCAAATGTAAGTTGCTTGAAGAAGCAGCATTGGCATTAATAAATGCCAGTACAGGTCTAGTCCCACCCTAAATTCTTTTTTTTTCAGCTGCTGTCATTTATAGTTGAAAGCATAAAAATCCATATCTTGACGTGGCCTGAGGTTTTAGCCTGAAGTTCAGCTGCTAATGTAGATGTTTAACTCATCATGCAGACATGTTTGTCTGCTGACTTGACCTGTCATCTAAAGACCTTCTCTGCTTGTTGGGAGCTCATGTTCAGGATGTTGTAGAGAGGCTGTTGAGGCCCATCTGATGCAACATTACCTCCTGCTGCTTTTCTGTGTAGGCACCAGTGGTACTGTTGGGGTGACCTGGGAAGTGTCATGTTTATAGTATCACTATATGGCTCGTTTTTTGGGGGGGCGTGATGGTTAAGGGCATGGGGGCCCAAGTGGTGTTACCCTTGATCCTGCCAGTAAGTGGGAAGGTCATGGAGGAGGATTGGGTGAAGTAGAGGCTTTCTTCAGATAACTAGAAGAAACATCATGTTCACATGTCCCATTTCTCATGGGCGACTTCAACGATGCCAATAATCTGCTGGAAGGACAACAGCAGGGCACAAGTGCTCTAGGATACTTCTGGAGTCTGCTGATAACAACTTCCTGACACAAATGATTGAGGTGCCAACAAGGAAAAGTACTTTCCAGGACCTGATACTTACAAGCAAGGAAGAACTGGTTGTGGATGTCAAAGTCAGGGGGCAACCTTGGCTGCAGTTACCACGATGTGGTGGTGTTCAGGATCCTGAGATGAGGGAGCAGAACAAAAAGCAGGATCTCAGCTGTGGACTTCAGGAGAATAGACTTTGGCCTTCTCAGAGGTCTGCTTGAAAGAATCCCATAAGGTACTGTACTGTAGAGAAGAGAGGTCTGAGAGAGCTGGTTGATATTCAAGGATCACCTTGTCCAAGCTCAAAAATGGTCTATCCTGACAAGCAGGAAATAAAGCATGGTTTAAGAAAGACGTTTTCCTTGGCTTTGGTAAGGCTTTGGAGTCTCACGACATCCTAATAGCGAAGCAAAGTATGAGTTACATATGTAAACAGTGAGGTAGATTGAAAACTGGCTGAATGTCAGTGCCCAGCATTGGTGATGATCAGTTGGCTAAAGTCCAGCAGAAGGCAAGATACTAGTGGTGTACTCTCAGAGTCAAAAATGGATCCGGACCTGTTCAGTGTCTTCATTAATGATCTGGGTGTTGGAGCGGAGTGTACCCTCAGCAAGTTTGTTGATGATACAAAACTGTGAGGAGTAGTTGATACACCAGTGAGTTATGCTGCCATTCACAGGGACCTCAACAGTCTGGAGAATTGGTCAGAGAGGAACCTCATTCAGCAAAGGGAAATGTGAAGCCCTGTTCCTGGCCAGGAATAATCCCATGTAAACGTACATGCTGGGTGCCAACTGGCTTGAAAGCAGCTCTACAGAAAGAGATCAGGATCCTGTTGAACAGCAAGCTGAGCATAAGCCAGCAATGTGGTCTCATGGCAATGACTGCTAACAGCATCCTGAGCTGTATTAGGCAGAGCGTTGTCAGCAGATAGAAGTGATCTATCCTCTGCTCAGCACTGGTGAGGTCACATCTAGAGCGTCAAGTCCAGTTCTGAGCTCCCTAGTACAAGAAAGAGATGGGCTTCCTGGAGCAAGTCCAGCAAAGAGCCACAAAGGGACTGGAGCATCTTCTGTATGCGGAGAGGCTGAGAGCTGAGAATGAGCCTTGGGAAGGGAAGGCTTGGGGAGTGGAAGGAAATTAAGAAGGAGCCACCAGACTCTTTGGTAATACCTGAAAAGACAGGACAAGAGTCAGTGAGCAAAAATAAAAACATGGAATTCCATCTGAATACAAGGAAACAATTTTTTACTATGAGTGTGATCAAACACTGGCATAGGCTGCCTAGAGAGGTTGTCAATTCTCTGATTGTGGAGCTATTCAAAAGCCATCTGGACATAGTCCTGGGCAGCCTGCTCTAGGTCACTCTGCTTGAACATGGACTAGATGATCTCCAGTGGTCCCTTCCAACTGCAATGACCCTGTGAACTCTTTTAAAATTTCGGACACTAAAAGCAGCAAATTTCAAAAACAGGAACTGTGCAAAGAAGAAAAACTTAGTCAGTTAATTACTCTCATGCTAAAGGGCTAGAATTTCTTTTTTTGATTTGCCCCATTGTAACTGTGGTAGCTAATGCCATCTTATCTTCTAACCATTCTGGAGTGAGGAGGGTTTTCTTCACCAACTTTTGCGTAGTGTGGGCCAAAGGAGAGTGCAGTAATGCTAAACAAGGAGCAAGGTTCATGGTGATACAGTCACTGGTTATTGCAACAGATATGTTGTGCTTGAGTTCTTCCACAGGACGCAACACACTTCACCTGAGGCACTTCAGACATATGGCTTATAGAAAATGTTGATGCCCTAGAGAAGAAAGGGAGGAAAAGTTGTTATGGCAAGTGAAGCATTGCACTTCCCCTTCCGTATGTGAGACCATAATTTGCAACTATATATACAGATTGCTGCATCTGAAATGGGAGAAGTGGGCAGGATGATGTTTGACAGGCAGTTCTTTATAATATAAATTAAATGGGAAACACATCTCAGCCAAGTGTATGCCTCCCTATCAAAAGCTTTGCAAGTATTGAAATTCAGACTAGGTTAGTTTTCAGACCGTACTAACTGGAGAGGATTCCAGTTCTTGCCCTTATGTGCTGCCACTCCCAAGCTGGGGCAGGTTCCTAGAGTACATATAGTGAATTTTTTAATGCCTGTTTCTATAGAGATCCTTGCTACTAACTGTGTGGAGGAGCATGAGGTTGAATCCAGTTTTAAAATGTAGCAGCGCTTAAAAGAAAATCTCTGCTCAAAATCCTGCAGGATTTCGAGCCAGTGAACAACAGCATACATTTGCTCGAAGAATCCAGGTGACTGTGGGCTGTGTTCATTTTCTGCATTAGATGTGAAATGGTCTGAGGAACACATTTCAATCACAGTGCTGAAAGTAGTGTTAGGTTATACTTGCTAACAAATGTGTTATCAAGTTATGGTCCCCACACATTTCTTACTGCTCAGAAGCAAAGATTCGGATATAATGTTGACTGGTTTTCCTCGAGTGCAAAAATCACTGGTTTAGTTTAGAGGTTTGGAGATAGTTTAGAGGAATGGTGAGAGAGGATTCCAGTGGATTTGTGCTGAAGTCAACAGGTGAATACAGATGAGCAATGCGTACGATAACTTTTTCCTCAACATAGTAGCACATAGCTTTGTATGGGAACTTGTTAAACAGACTCCAGCCAATTCACAAGTCATTTCTCTTTACCCTTGGGATGTTTCCTGCGCCACTGGCTGTGTCTTTCCTTCTTTGAGGAAAGAGTAATCTATTGCAACAGATTTTTTAGAAACAGTCTTCAGTATTTTTGACTTGGAATCTGTGCTTTTGTGTCTTATATGGAACATGATGCCTTGATACTGACTGTGTATCTTTGGGCTCCTTGTAAATGATTGCAACTGTATAGTCAGTTTCTTATTATTTTTGAGGACAAACTAATAAGTTGGATCAAAGAATGTACACTGTATAATTTATCCAAAATGTTTGGAAACACTAACTTTATTAAATAAGCAAAAGCTCCAGTGTTTGTTCTCTACTAATCTAAATGAAAAAATGAAGAATATATGCACTTTGTTCATTTGTAGCTTTTTAAAGCTTCTTCCTCCTCATTTTTTAATATAGTTCTATAATTAAAACCTACTTGTTCTTACTTTATGAAAGAACATTCATGTTATGTACGTCTTTCTTTCATTTAAATACCATGATCTCAGAAATATGTCCTAAAAATATCTCATACCCAAGCTTAAGAGAACTAACTATCACACTCAACAATTTAATCAGATAATTTTTCCCTTTGGCACAATTTGTGCTTTGCATTCTTAAAGTTCTTTAGTTGTATGAGCCTGTAACTTACACTCTCCAGGAGTGAATAATGGGGCCTTAAATTTGTTGTTGCTAATTACAGCTTGCTGACACTCCTTGTGTACCCAAAATAGATTTGAAAAAGATCTCAATATAAATAAGTTAACAACCTGCAAATTTCCATGTCTACAGCAGAAATGCATCATGTCTCTCTAGGGTAAAGCTGATTTTTTCGAAAGATAGGTAGATAATTTCTTAGGGTCAGCATTATTTTAAGAAGTCACTTAAGGGGAAGAGGCATTAGGAAATGGTTATGAATTTTTCAGGTTTCCATGAGAAAATTCCAGTAAATAAGTCATAATTCCTACATCTATGCTGTAGGTAATGCAGCTCTTGTTCCTTAGTGGGATGAGGAAGCTGTGAATCTGAAACTAGAGTACTTTCTCCTTTCTGCTACAAATAAGACTATAGCAAGCCATTTTTGAATAAGAAATCTCAAGTTTGTACTTCTTTCTCCAAATGAAAAAATGTGTTTGTTTCTATTTCCAATTAGAAATACCCATCCAGAAACAGAAAAACGAAGACTTCTGTGTTGAGTTTCAGTTTCATCAGAATTTGCAAAAAAAGCCAGAATTTTTCATCCAGGCAGAAGCTGAAGCACCAAAACTTTCAGATTTGCCAGTAGCCAGTCAAAGGGGAGGGGTCCCTAATGACTGTAACTCCAGTCCTGAAGAAGCAAGGTAAAAAACCAAATATCCCTATATATAGTTTTTCTAGATTCACATTACAGACAATAGACATGGATTTTTGGATAAAGATAGGGAAGTCTACTTCCCAGCTGCAAATCACTGTCAGCTGTTTACTTGAACTCACCTTTCCTTGCGGAATGCAGCATTTCACTACTGTATTCACTAACACTAATAGAAAATACAATCATGGCAGTGACTTAGTGACATATTGCATGTGTTACAATGATTATTTCTCCTGAGACCTTTAAAAAAGGCATACCAAGCAGAATTAGAAAACATGATCTAAATGTCTAGTGGTGTTTGTGGCTTTACATAAGTATAGTGTACCCAAAGTATGATGAGTGAGTCAGGAATGAAGCAGGGTGAAAGTGAGTAGGAAGCAGGACTAAAGCAGCATGAAGTCTGGATGAAGTTGGAAGAGTAGAGATGAGGAGCTGTAATACCTTGTAGACAGTCTGTGACGGGAATCTGGAGAAGGGCAAATACGGTTGAAAAGTGTAATAAAAACTCTGAAGATTTTATTCTGTCATTAATTTTGGTCATTTATTGTCTCTGATTTCCATACTGAGCTATGGCCCTCCACTGCAGTCTTAAGAAGCATATACGCTTACGTTATATGTGACATAATATATGAAGGTATACCAAATAGACTAAGGAACATGCTGCCAGTTTGCAGTGACTTAGGCATTCTGAAGCCCAATTCTTAACTGAGAATGACAGAGTCGTTTTTGAAAATGGGATCAAGGCTGCAAAGCCCTATGACATACTTCTGAAAAATATAGTCTAATTCTTCAACTGTCTGGCAGATTCTACAGCTGGTTTTGTTACCTTTAGTATGAACTAGTGGTGACCCATTGTCCCAGAACCAGGCTGTAGTACTTTTTCATCTGACTTGTTGCCTTTATTTGCATTAGGGCCTGAGAAATGCTGTTAGGGCAATGCATCATGCACTAAAAGCCAAATATAATCCTGAGTGCTGAAGTACAGCCCAGCACAGAGTCAACCGAAGATTGCTGCTCCTGCCCTTCACCAGTGCCACTCACACTGGCAGTCAGGCTGGTCTTGAACACTTGAGATTAACCTCGCACAGCAGTCAGTGTATTGAGCCATCCCATCTGCAAATACATTACATGTAGGATCCTAAAGCTATAGACCAAAAACTCATTGTGCTAGATATTACATAAACTGAGCAAAATCTGTACTTCCCCAAATAGACTGCAATTAGAATATAACATGGGAAAAAAATCTTGATATAGAACAACCCCAGAAATGTTGAGTCAGTGTTGATTTCCATGGTAGATGATGGTCTTAGTGTACCATCAGTGTGACTTGACAGGTTTTATTTTAGACATCAGGAAGAAAACATTTGAGAGACTGGAAAATGATGATGAGGTACATTCAAACTTGTTCCTGGGAAGCATCTTCTGAACATGGAAAATGCCCAAAAAATGTGAGGTTTGTAATGTCTGGGAAATAGTATACAGAAGCATCTACCACTTGCTGTCCGAAATAGTACTAAATGAAATTTGCGTGACAAAGCAAAGATGAAATAGGCATTGAAAGATCTTGAAAGTGAAGACACACAGTTTAAGCACTCTTCCGACCCCTATATAGTGTAATATACTAAGTACTTTCTGATGTGAATCTCCCTGCTGTCTATGTTTGATGTGCTTTAGGTTGCACCATAGTTTGCCTGCAGAGTACAGATCTTAACTTCCTTCTTAAAGAACTATAGAGAAAATAAATCCAATGGAAGCAGATGAAGAAAGGGGTTGATGAGTACTGTCTACCTAAGAGAATGACTCTGGAGAAACATACAGCTTCCCTGTTCTTTCTAGGATGTGAATTACGCATATTGAAAGTAATGTGTACAGTAGAAATAGGAGTTCAGAAGGTATAGCTTTTCTGTGACTACTTCTTATGAATCGTTGGTTATGAAGCCTATACACAGAAAACACTTAAGGGAAGCAAATGTTAAAAATATTTGGTAATCCTCCTTCTAATCCATTCATCTACTGATGTTGCTGCCATCTTACAAGTGACATCTGAGTTATCTGTGAGTATAGCTAAGGAGTTTTATAAAAGTCTTACCTTGAGACAGAATTTCTTTGGCCATTGAATCTTGTCTAATTTTTCCTTGTCTATGGATAAATAAGTTATCTTAAAACTGTGAATGGTATATAGTATGGTATTCCTGTTGTCAGTTATAATAGAATAACACCGTCATTTTACAGAGTTCTTCAAGATGAAGTGCTAAATCTTGTATTCTGGATATTCTCATTTCACTTCATGTGGAATTGTCCATCCTACTGAAGAATCTGAGGATCAAATTGATGGTCTGATTAAATGAAACCAAATGTTTTGTTACTTTGTGTCTCCATGTTAAGCACAGGTTTTTTAATATTTGCTTCCCTTAATCATTTTCTGTTCATAGGCTTCATAGCCAATTTATATTCATCTAGTTTATGCCTTAGTACTGTAGTATATTTATTTACTATTCCAGATTTACAGATTTTTTTTTTTCAGATTTACAGATTTAAGAAGTGATAGAAGGATATCCCTTTTACTGGCTATTTAATATATTTTCAGTGGTTAACAAGTTTTGATCATTTATTTCTGTGTATTTTGTTGTTGGTGAGGGGTGGGGTGAGAGGAATAGGTTTTGCATTATTTTTTCATTCTTTTATTTCCCTCTTAAACACAGCACTGTAGAAAGCAAGGCTAACAGGATGCTCCCTGAATTTATATCTCCATGGAAGGATGCTGCAGATTTAGGTGGAAAAACAGAAACTGCAATCCTTTTAAAAGAACTGGGCACTCTGAGGGCCAAAAATCAAAAGGTACAGTTAAGATATTTACATCACAGTATTTGCTCTTTTATGGTTGTCTTACAAAACATACATTTTAAAATGTTCCTAATTTAGTTTTGTTATTTATTTTAGTGCACAAATCAATAACTTTCTTGTCATTTTGGATTCTTAGTACCTGCTTAACAACTGCCTCCTTGGAATTAAAAAGTCTTTCATCATACCCTTTGACCTTTATAATCAGTCACATAGGTTCTTGCACCATGGATGAAAAACAAGGAGGGCCAAAATTGAGGCCAGGATTTCATGAACAGAACCTGGAGCTTGTGCTTCTGTACATGTGGTCCAGTTAAAGAATGTGCCCTGATACCCCCTCTTTGTTGAGGGGAAGAAAATTCCATCCTACTAGCACACTTAATTGCTTCTAGTGTTAGTAGTCGTTTCCTGTGCCTGAACAACAGAAAAGTCTATAGTCTTTCCATGAAGTGTCATTGAATGTTCAACGGCAAGCTCAGATATCTGTCCAAGAACAGCTTTAGTGAATTCCAGTTAAAAGAATGGCCTCAACCTGTGAAAGAATACCAATTTTCTATCTGGCAACGCATGTGAAAATTATGCATTTACACCACAGTCTCTTCAGGCTATGATGTCCATACTCTTGTTTGGAAATAGGGTATTGATGCAGTCACCACCTGCATGTAATTCTCAACTACCTTAGTGAGAGGCACCACAGCTGGTGATACCTGAAGAAAAGAATCACAAGTAAAAAAAAATGGCAGATACATTGCTGCTTGTCTCACAGCACAATATAGGGCTGATGATAGGTATTTTAAAATTTTGTCCTTTAAATAAATAAATATAATTGAACTTCTGTTGTATTTGCTTAGTGTTTGTATTTTGGGGTAAGAAACTATTTTTTAAAATTTTGTTGTGGTTAAAAGAAGTGGTTGACTATTTCAGCCAGGTGAGAATCTTACTGTCCATTTGTTCAATTCAGCTTCAGGGTAAGCTGTCTGAAAAGGACAAGGAGCTGAAGACAATAAAACTCGACTTAGAACTGCAAGAGAGAGCTACAGAAGCTAAGATTGCAGAAAAGATTGCAGGTACAGTAGGCAAGCATTTAACAGATGGCTGTATGGCTCATACAGTACCCGCGGTTGCTATATGACGTGGCCTAGTGAATGTTAGCTTTATTTGCTAAAGGAGGGAAGATTTCACTTTTATTTTTCTTTTTTTTTCTTTTTTATTTTTTTATGTGTGGCTATTTAGAGTTGCTTAGAAAATAGGTGGCTTTAACATCCTGGTACTGGTATTAGCAGGAGCTTTACCTGTATTCATACTGATTTGGGCATTAAATGCATTGTTAACACCATGTCAATCCAATCACAAAAAGGTTGTTTGTTTTGTTGGAAGGTCCTGAACAAACAAGGGGAAATAATGATTACCAGTGCCTCTACCTTTCAACCAGCAGTTCAAATACCACTTATTGTTTTAGCTTGTTCAAAGCAATAGTACCCCCTCCCTGTGTATGGAGATAGTCACACATTCACCTCAGCTAGAGACCTGCAGTTTTCTTGAAAAATGTGATCTTTTGGTAGTTATAATGAATTTTTGTCTGATGATTGTATGTCTACAGTGAGTGAAGTTTATTCACATTCCCCAAATGAAAGGTTTTTAAGTTTATAGTTGAAAGTGAATGTATGCTTATATTTGCTGTTAACTGTTCTGTGGGTAGACATACAGGAATGGAGAGTTTGTGTTCTATGATTTCAGAAACTGCTAAAGTAATGAAGGTGATTATTTTGTTTATTGAAAAGTGACTATATGTACAGTGTACCCAGTGGATGAAAAATACTCTGAGGTTTTTTCTTCAAGTGTTTCAAAGGAATTAATGGGAGTGCTTTTATAAATTCATTGTATTGTTTATTCATAAATGAAGTGTGAGCTAGTTAAATTGTGTCCTCATAGACCATGCACGCTTCATAGAGTATTAACAGTACTAATACCGGTCCCCAAAATATTGGTACTGAAGGGAGAAGTAACTGTCCTCAGGAAAATGGAGCAGAAAGTAAACTCTCCAGCTGAAAAAACAGATGGCTGACTTTCCACTTAATGTCAAACTCCTGAGAATACAATACTCTGTGTATATTATAGATGAGAATTCCTAGATCTTCTCTGCTGGAGGAAGGGATAGGCAAATCTAATTTACATATTAGGAAACAAATTTAAATGCAGGCATAATTCTTCTCTTATTTTATTCTAAATAAACTGCTTGGTTTTATTTTCAGAAGAAAAAAAAATCCTCACTGTGGTGTCATAGTTATATCCAGCAGCTAAAAGCCAATGCAAATTGATTGGTTTGATTCCCAGGTTTTGTGTTTGTCCCTGGATATTTGCACAGTGCTTTACCTCTGTACCTATAACAAATATTCTCTTTGGTATAGGTGCATTGCTCATTAAAACCTGGAAAGAAATGTGTGTCAAAAGGTGTGTCAAAAACATGTTTAATTTCGTTTTTATGGATACAATTAAAATATTTTTTAGTAAATGGGTTTTTACTACACTACTGTTTAAACTTTCTAATTCTGTCTTAAGCCTAATACTCTCTTCAAAACCGTATGGGATGAATATGGGTATAATAATTAACAATTATTCCATTTTAAAAGGAAAAGTAATCCAAATTTTAATGAGAGCTACAATATGTAATAAGGATGACCAACACTCTTTTTTTTTCCTCCTCTTACAAGCTCAGGAAGTATAAAATCCTTTAATTGCTGAGAGAGAGTGCAAAAGGCTCCTTAGTTCATAAACTGTTTGCAAAAAGGAAACATCCTTAATACTTCATGGGTTTTTTTGCTTCCTGTCTTACAGTTCTAAGAACGTTACTGAGTTTGGATAAATGTTTTGAAATCTGGAATGATGTGAACCAAACTGAATTTGTGGAAGTCCACGTGTCTCTCATGAAAGCCTTGGGGGAAGTTGTAGTAGGCAAGCAGAACCTGATAAGGAAGATGCAATGTGTTTAAGGAAAAACTTTTTCCCCTTGTGTTAAGTCCTTTGAAGAAAGGAGAACACATGCTATGATTTCATGTTGCTAGTTAATCTTTAATTGCTGCAGTGTATAACACATGGTAGAGTGAAGCCTGTAAATATGGGTGTTTGCATTTTTATTATTACTTAGTACTGACTTTATGATAAGAAAAGGACTGCACGAAATTGTATTGTACAAAACATCAGAAAGGAACACCATAAAAATGTTACCTACTTTGAGGAATATTACAATTCCATTTTAAAATGTAACCATCTAATTCATGGGGTTTTACCAAAACAAGTCTTTAGAAACACTTAACCCAAAGCTTGTTGCTTTATGATTTTTACTTTGTACAGAGGAAGAAGTGAAGAGAAAAAGTGTAAATTTGTGAAATGCTTCATGAGAGAATAAGAAAAAGTAGAGTTAAGGCAGAAGATATACATGATGGAAGACAATGTTTAATGTCAGTGTGCAGTAAATAATATATTTGCAGAAGATGTTTATTTTTAAATTTTACTGGTCTGGAAAATGGATTTTCCAGAACTTTCTTGGGTCTCTCTCTCTGTGTCATGTAGCTATGGCTAAGGAAATTTAGGGAATTTGCAGTTTTGGTTTTAGGTTTTTAAGCATTAGAGATTATTGTTACTGGTGGTCATAGCTGCCACAGGTTCCTGCTCTTTCTTCATTCTTCCTGTGTTGGATTTCCTCTTATTATAAGCCAGTGTCAGAAGGTACCATTAGTTTTGCTCCCCATGATGAAGAGAAGAACAACAGAGGTGGAGACAACATTGGTAAAATCAAACAAGAGCACATCATAAAAGAACTGAGAGTAGTATAATGTAAGGGAAAAAAGGGAACTCCACATGTGAACTGGGTATGAAGAATAAACAAATTTTGAAATGTGGGACTGCAGAATTTTTGTATGTTGAACAGAAAAGGGAATGGGTGAACTCTGTGAGAGGGGAAAGGGGGAAGGAGACACATCTGAGGACAGACTGGAAGATAAGGATGGAAGCATTACAAAGGAGTAAGTCTGCAAAAGAACTAGCAGAGAGAAAACATCTCACTTTGGATGGACATAGTAAGTGACTTCATTTTTTTACTAAGAGAGGAATTATACAGTGTGTATATAAGAACTTATAGAGGAAAGAGCTGGTTGAGTGTACATAGGAATTGTAGAGCATAGTGGTAGCCTCTCTAGACTGGAAAAAATACCAAAGCCCTAGTCTTCTCACAGTAATCCAACCATTACTGCAGCATAATATACCATGGTTGGCATCAGATCCTCGGCTTTTGGAATATTTTTGTTGCTATCACTGTACTCTGTATTGGGACCAAGAATAATTCTGAAGGAAAGTATAATTTAAAATATTTCTCCTTAAATCCTTCTGTAGGAAGGGCTATTCTGCATTTGGGTTTTTTTGCCAATATCTGATAGTAATCTTACCAAAATTTAATTCTTCTTAAAATCAGAGTCAGCTCCGTAGGAAGAAGTGGATTGAGTCCAGCCCTGCTAGATCTCTTAGGTGTTGCACACCACCTTTAGTGCCTGAAAACTGTATTAGCATTCTGCAGATGGTTTCTGAAAGAACAAGTTAATGATAGGAAATACAGTGTGGAAAAAGGGGAAAGCAGTACTTCTAATGTTGTTTATGTTACACAGCTTTCAGTCTTTTGGAAAGTACAGCAATATACCTACAATGAAGTCCCTTTTTTCACATCTGCTTTTAAAAAATTGTTGAGAATTAACATTTGTGGTATTTTGGAATTATTGAATATGATGTGGAAATGTTCATGAACATGATTTGAAGCTTCCTAAATTAAGTTGAAAGATAATTACTGAATACATATGCAATAGTTTTAATAGCAAAAGTGGAAAAAAAATATCCAAGTGGGTATTAGCTTAGAGTTAGTTTGATTTAATATCCCATAAAGTAAGAGGACATACCTAATCTTGCCAGTAATGAACTTTGGGTGGCAATAACTTCCAGCACAGAAGAAAAGTATTTTCCATTTCTTCAAAGCTCACTTCAGAGTCCTTTTTCAGATGTTATTTTTCTTTCTTGCATGTCATCCATTAAAGATTAGCTGTGGAAGGTTGGAGCATGGAGAGATTATGAATGACAGAACAACTCCTGCAGAATAATAATCAGTTTTTGGTATTTAATGCTGTTTGACTTTTGCAGACACATTTCTTATTAACCTTTGGTACAAACAGAAATCCAGGTTCCTGATATCTCATGGAGAAGATGAATTCAAGATCCTCTTCCAATTAAACTGAAATAAGGCCAATATTGGGCTTTAGCCAAAAGAACTCTATAGTTCCCAACCCTTGTGTTCATAAACCTAAATATGAATGATATTTTACAGTTTAAGTAGGTAATGCATATACTTCCCTAACTCAGTTTTCTGTGTATAATTCATTATTTGTATATATAGTCTATGTAGTTCTTAGGGACTTTTTCCTATTATGATTTTTCCTGTTATTATTTACTTCATTATGCAAAACTCTTTCCTGAATATGTTTCAAAATATTTCCTGGTATATTAGAGTTTTGAAAATAGCTGAAGGATTTGAATCCTTTGTATGGGAAGGTAGACAATCCATCTAAAGGATAGGAAAAAAAAAAACCACCAAGGTGGGGGTGTTGTGACTGAGAACATCTTGGCTTAATTTTTAACTGCTTGATTTGGAACAATGTGATTTTACCTTAAGATTTTCAGAATTGTTGACTGTCAAAAAGTTGTGTGCAGCTCTTTTGAAGTACAGTATACAAAGAGCTGACCGAGGTTAAATTTACTAAGCTATTTATGGGTGGGGCTTATATGTAAAAACAAGCCAGTATCTTCTGCGTCTTTTTATAAGTACTCGGTCCCCTCTCTTCCCCACTATGGTGCTAGATGAACATAAAGAATTGGGGATATACTCAGGAATAAAAAGGCCTGCCAATAACCTACTTCTTGGGGTATGACAAAAACTTTCTTTAACATGTCAAATTATAAATTGCAAACTTTAATGCAACGTTTATATTTTCTCCTCTAAAGTAAATATTCAGGCATCAGCAACTATTCA